ACTAAAAATACCGCATCTCATCGGATAGTGTGGTTATTTTCAGTCAAAATTCATGTGAAGTAAAGCTTGCACAGGGCCAGAAATTTGTTAGCATGCTCCTTGGGATGTTGACTATGAATCCATAACATTGATTTTCTCGAATACAGTTGGGATATGTTAAAAATAGATGAATACTTACCGTACGTCAATTGTATTCCCCGCGCCGACATGTATATACTGGTACAGCTGTGGACGCTAAACAGCTGTCTGCCCATTTGATTGTACGGTGTGATTATGCCACGGCTAGCCGCTATTCATACTGAATAAGGCAATAGAATATGACCTAAAACTCCGTGACCATCTACATTCTTGCCCATGCTTAAACTGCAGCTATATACCTTATAATGTCAGTCATTACAGATGTTTGTGATTTATGAACTTCAATGTTTCCAAATAGTGTTTTATATAAAATATGTGATTAAGATATGCTACGTAATATACACTAGTTTACCTACGTCTGACATAGAAAAATGACCTATCAGTTTACCTACTGGCGATACCAAAGTCTTGATGTAACGGTACTTACCACGATACCACGCGATACCTTTTGCTTTTTTGTATTTTCTGATCGCAGATCAGGAAATTCAATGCCGACATTCAATCTCTGGCACAGATTTTAACGACAAACCTAACAACAAGTAGTTCTCAGAACAGCTGAAAACTAGCGATGTAAAATAAAGAAATAATTTCATTTCATTACAAGTATCCAACAAATTACAACGCATAGTAGCGTTGGCTTATAGAATTGTCAATAAATGCACAATCACAAAATACGCGGATGAATATCATTTTAATGTCGATCCGGATTTTCAGAGCGTAGTACACAAATAAATCTTAATGTCGAGTAGTGGAATATATACATGTCGGACGGTTTTGTCGAGAATTTTGCTAAATTTATTACATCAGTTTTAAACAACAGGTTTATAATGAACAAAATACCTCGAATTAATACCCCGGTCACATATTCACGGAATACGCCCACGGAAGAGCGACAGATTAATTCCGGCATCGTCCGTAGCTACCCGTACTGGACAGTAGCTCTCCGTATTGTAACCGTAATCAATCGTAGTAGTCCTTGTATTTCCGTAGCGATCATTGACAATTTTTGAACATGCACAAAAATTTGCTACGGAAAAATCAACCGAAGCGTTTCCCTACTAGTCCGTATTAATCCGTACTGATACGTACTGGTCCGTACGAAAACCGTACTAGTCCGTACTGATTCGTAGTCCACCAACTTGTCAAGGATTTCCACGGTTTTGTACGGAGAACTACGTATTTGTACGGTTACCCTACGTATAAGCTACGGTTTTAATACGGATTAATACGGCATTGTCATGGAAAGCCACGATCGTAAGGGGGCAGGGGACATATTCGTATGATGGCCCCGGTCAAATTTTTTAATAACTCAGACATGGTGTTTTGAAGGTACTGATAACTTCTGATATTTCTCTGTCATTGTAATTCTTTCTTGTTTGTGTGTAGGAAATGAGAAGTATTTTTGGGTTTTTACCCGAAACTAAGCATTTTGGTAGCTTTATATGTATTTCTGACTCTCCGAATGGAGGTGAAAAAGTTAAAAATCAAGCTTTGACAGTTGGCGCCAAACAAGTAAGAAATTTCAGATAAATTTTGTGAAAAATCTAAACGTATGACAGACACTTTATTGGTCATTTCTGAAAATGCCATAGCTTGCACTGCGTGTTACTGATATTTTTAAAGGAATTGGGCGGATTCTGGAGTATGCTGCACCTTCATGAAGATTGCCCATATTGGTATATTTTAGGTGTGATTTTGGCTGGGTGGGGGTAAATATAAATTGCTGTCAGTCATTTTTTGAAGGAGCAATGCATGCAAACTATTATTTTCTTCAATGTATGTCATATATCATTGAATAATGCTGTGCAACTGGTTATCTGCCTGTGAAACAGATTTTGAAATATTTGGAATTGTGTTTCTGGTCACACTGAAATACAAAATTGTTCATTTTTAGGTCCCCTGCCCCCTAATACGTTGTACAACGGAGAGGCAAGGATAAGCACGGTCTTATACGGTTTATTGCGTTGCAACACGAAACGGTACGGAATGGTACGGTCCCCCACTGTTTAGTACGGATGAATTAAGTATCATGTACTTTTTCAAGGGTATAAATACTACCTTCTTGTTAAAAACAGATATATTTGCGGAAACATTTAATAAATGATAATTGCCATTTACTGGCTGCAACTTTATATTGAAATGGCTCAGAATGCGGAGGCAGTGGTCGCGCTGCTTGATGACATACATAGAAGTAAAAAAATTATATTACTATCGTACTACAATTCATAAGTAATAGAATAACATTTAATGTTACATATTTTACAAACATTGGATCGTGAAATTGGAGTAAATATGTACATAAAACGAAGTGTCTCATAAGCCTCGGAGGCTGACCCTTGAGTGATAATAAGATTAATTAACAAGCTTTTTACATATTTTTAAAACATAAACATCACGATAATTAATGTAATTGTAAGATGAACAGCAAATCTTAAAATTAGAAGAGAAGCAGTATTGATCAACATTTTTCAGTAATGATTACTAGTCCATATCTAATCAGGTAAGAGAAGACAGACGAGTTGGTGGACTAGAGATGGGCTTTTACGAAGACCGCTTCAAGTTTAGTATGAGGTTTTCATGGTCGAACTTGTAACAAGAAATATCTTTAAAAAAGATAAACGGCGTTAATGGATAAGATTTTCATGTATAAGAAAGAAAGAAATATAGAGCGGCAATGCGGACGCAGTTTAGTAATTATATTTTACTTGTTATATCTGTTGCCAAACCATCACTGCCTTCTTAGCATGGCCTAAGGATTAAGCGACCGAGTCATGGAAACCCCGTAACGGCATTGAAAGTGTCTGTCCAAAAATGTTGAAGCTGTTGCAACAATTTCGTCTGGTGATAATACGTCGATCAAAGAAGCCCTGTCTTACATTCAGTCGTAATCTACATTTATTCAATTTCAATGAAATACCTCTAGTAGAATTATAATTCAAGATGAATTATTGTCCTTGAAGTATTTGGTGCACATAAAAACAACTTGTTACAAGTGCGAAATTTACCAACTTTCACGTAAATTAACTTAAAAAAATGTTCCCCCCCCCCCCGAGGGATGAACCCGGGGCCTTCGGTTGTGCGGCGAGTGGCATAACTAGTACACTACAGCTTTAGGCCATTTGTGATTCTGGGTTTGAAATTAACAATCAGTATCAAAGTTCCGTAAGAACTAGAATGACCGAAAGATGAACTCTGCACTTCTCTGTCGTTTCAAACTGTGTGATTCTGATGTCACTGATCTTTTTTCTACCGTGAATCTAAAATCATTCTAGGAAGTTGATGGCCCCGGAATAATAAAACGCAAACGTAAAACATTTAGAATTAGATAAATACCGTCCAAGCACAACGATTTAATGTATGTGTTTTGTATTAAATATACATCATGAATCTGTTTTAAAATTTAATGCTATAATAGCGTCAACGCACGTTTATTTCGTGTTATAAAATCTGCAGAGTCCCTCGGAACTGTTGGAGCTCTCGCCCTACCGGGCTCAGGCACCAACCGTTTCTCGGGACTCTGCAGACGTTATAACACGGAAAAACGTGCGTTAACCCTATAAAATAATATAGAATTGGCAATAAGTGCACAATCACAAATTACGCGGATGAATATCATTTTAATCAATGAAAATGCTATTTTTAGCGATGTCAATTACCGAATACTTCAGAGCGTAGTACACAAATAAATCTGACTGTCGAGTAGTGGCATATATACATGTTGGACTGTTTTGGCGAGAAGATTTTCGCTAAATTATTTTCATCAGTGTTAAACAACAGGTTTTGCGTGAACAAAATACCTCCAAATTAATATGTTCTCAATTTAGAATTACAATGTGTTTGTTTTTATTCAGGCTACCTACGTATTACTTCACCGTGGTGCAGGGTAGCGCACTCGTGACATTATGCCCATCCAAGGGTATATAGTAAGTGAACGGGTGAAGATCAAAATAAGTTTTCATTTTGCCATAAATCCGTTCAATTCAATATTTAAGTTTACATAAACAATAAATAACACACAGATCCAAATGAAATTTCTGCAAAGATCCATTAGAATTTACCTATAACGCTTAGTTTAAAAAAAGAGTGGGGCAGTCTTTTTAAATTTTAGGCAGATTTATACTTTTATCCTAAACATTTTCTAATATCAACTGTTGGTCAAACACCATTTTGACAGTCAATCTTTTGAAATATAAAGTCAGTTCGGCTCAACTTAACTGAGAAAATATGAGCATAATGTCACTTTAACTATCTTTGACTTCTTTTGCTTTATTGGCAATAGGTTCATAGTGAAATAGTATTTTGTATGGAAGTAAAAATACTATTTTGTTTACATTTTGCTACGTATATTGCAAATAACTGTATCTTCAGTGCTATTTTCTTCGGTTGTTAAATATCTACCATACCCTTAATATGTCATTAAAACAATTTAAATACATAACTGACAACTGTAAAGAATTTTAAAGATGTGAAATTTTGAGGCAAAATGTGCCTTAAAAGCAAAATATTAACACAAAGTTACTCAACATATTTACCATGTAATTGACATATGATACAATGTAATCAAATCTTTACTTCATAAGCATGATAAACTGGTGGAAAGATATGCCACCGTCTATTCCATTTCTTTTATACAAGTTTGCTCATTGTTTGCTCATTAAAGATACATGCATTGCAAATGCTTATAGTGTATACATTTTGAAACCACTTTTATTGATATATTTGGCTTTTTCTTTTTTAAATAATAATATAGTAAAAAAAAGTGTGTGCCTTTTTTACCTAAATCATTACTGCTATGTTGCGAATGTCATCTGGATGAGCTGATTTATCTAATGTTCATTATATTCACAAACTATCTTTTGCAGGGTACCATGGAAATAACTGCATTGACATAAATGAATGTCAGGGTTCAAACCCTTGCAAAAATGGCGGGACATGTCATAATACCCCAGGATCATTCACCTGTCAATGTCTCAAAAGCTGGACTGGACGTTTATGTGACGTTGATGTTGATGAATGCTCTTTACAACTTTGTACAAATGCCACAATTTGTACGAACACTCCTGGGTCATTTCACTGCCGTTGTGAACGTGGATTTCGTGGACGTTATTGCACAGATACTGACGAATGTAAACTCCTAATAAAGTTGTGTCAACACAACAGCACATGTTTGAACACATATGGTTCCTATTCATGCATATGCTCTGAAGGTTTTTTAGGAAACAGATGTGAGCGATGTCAAGTATGAAAATAAATTCACTAAAATGTTTTTGTTTAACCACAAACGTGTTCTAAAGAGGTTGTTGTTTCGTACATTGAATTACATGAAGTTTGATAAGAAAAAAAATCCAGTTATAGAAATTTTTTTTGTAATGCTTTGGCATAGATTTAACAAAACCTTAGTACATGTAAATGCTAAATAGACTACAAGTATGCCAAATGTTGCACTAAAGTGTTAATTTATCTTTAGCATTAGATACATTTAAATGAATACAAATGTACATGCTGTTTAATATTATTCATGGTTAATGCTATATTATTTATGACATCATTGTATTTGGTGACTTGAAAGGATACCTTAATTAGTCCCCTACCGGTTTACCGGAGGGGACTTTAGGTTTACCCTCCGTCCGTCTGTCCGTCAGTCCGTCCGTCTGTCCGTCCGTCCGTCAGTCCGTCCGTCCACAAAACTGGATCCCACGATAACGCAAAAAGTACTGAAAATATTTTTATGAAACTTGATATATGGATAGATGGCAGTATGGAGATTATGCACGTCTTTTTCTTTTCTTCCTATGTTAAAAATTGTGGTTGCTATGGCAACAAATAGACAGAAAATATGGCAAATTTTACACATAACCTGGATCCCGCGATAACGCAAAAAGTACTGAAAATATTTTTATGAAACTTGATATATGGATAGATGACAGTATGGAGATTATGCACGTCTTTTTCTTTCCTTCCTATGTTGAAAATTCTGGTTGCTATGGCAACAAATAGACTGAAAATATGGCAAATTTTACACATAACCTGGATCCAGTGATAACACAAAAAGTACTGAAAATATGTTTATGAAACTTGACATATGGGTAGATGGTGGTATAGAAATTATGCACATTCTTTTCTTATCTTCCTATGTTGAAAATTCTTATTGCTATGGCAACAAATAGACTGAATTTCAAGATTTCTGATTCTAGTTTTTAAGTTTTTTCACTATAAGTTCTTTATTTCTTAAGGTATTTTCTTCAAACTTTAAATATAAATTGCTTGTCATCAACCACATCATATGTGACAAGGTTTACAACTCAGCACAAAATTTATCAGAATTACCTCCCTTGAACTTAAAATTTTCATGAAAAAAAACATTGTTTTTTAAATAACTTCTTTTTCTGAATGTATCTACTTCAAACTTCATATAAATGTTTCTTATTATCACTCAACATTTGTGAGTGTTCAATACTCTAGCAAGACTATTTCCAGAACTATGCCCCTTTTGAACTTAGACTTTTTTTTGAGAAATTGGTAATTTTTACTCCAACTTCTTCAATCATGATAGGATTTTAAAAATGTTATATTTTGATAACAGGGATGTTTAAAAAATAACTTTAGAGTGTCCTTCAGTCCGTCTGTCTGTACATAAAAACTGTTTCCTGTGATCACTTTTAAAGAACTTTTTCGACAAATTTACTTAAAATAGGAACCTAAGTGAATGGCCAATGGCCCTTCAGAATGTTGCTTGGGCTCTTACCGGTAGGGGACTTATGGATTGCTTGCAATACTATGATAATTGCTTGTTTATTGCTGATAACAATTTCTGCACATACATTTCTGCAATTTATATATGTAACCAGATAAACTTTTATTTTGGTATTAAATAAGGCTATTAGATTGTCAATAACTATTATGAGTATAGAAACGATTTAAACAGCGTAATAAATGCGTGTGTACATCTATTTCAGTAAGTTATGAACCATACCAAATTGCAATGGGGAATTTGTCATTTCATTCGTATGTACATTTTATAAACGAGGTATTTTTATGTTTCTGAAAAAAAAAGCCAATCGATTCTAGTTTAGTTAGTTTGTTATTAGTCCCCTACCGGTTCAACCGGAGGGGACTTTAGGTTTACCCTCCGTCCGTCTGTCTGTCTGTCCGTCTGTCTGTCCGTCAGTCCGTCCGTCCACAAAACTGGATCCCGCAATAACGAAAAAAGTACTGAAAATATTTTTATGAAACTTGATATATGGATAGATGGCAGTATGGAGATTATGCACGTCTTTCTCTTTTCTTCCTATGTTGAAAATTCTGGTTGCTATGGCAACAAATAGTCTGAAAATATGGCAAATTTAACACATAAATTGGATCCAGTGATAACTCAAAAAGTACTGAAAATATTTTAATAAAACTTGATATATGCATAGACGGCCGTATGGAGATTATGCACGACATTTTCTTTTCTTCCTATGTTGAAAATTCTGGTTGCTATGGCAACAAATATCCTGAATTTCAAGATTTCTGATGTAAATTTTTCAGCTTTTTCACTATAAGTTCTTTATTTCTTAAGGTGGTTACTTCAAACTTTAAATTTAAGTTTCTGGTCATCAACCACATCATATGTGACAAGGTTTATAATTCTAGCACAAAAATTATCAGTATTACCTCCCTTGAATGAAAAATAATGTTGTCTTATTTAAATAACTTCTTTATTTCCTAATGTATCTACTTCAAACTTCATATATAATTGTTTCTTATTATCACTCAACATTTTTTAGAAGGTTAAATACTCTAGCAAGACTATTTTCAGAATTATGTTCCCCTTGAACTGAGATTTTTTTCGAGAAATTGGTATTTTTCACTCCAACTTCTTCATTCCTTATAGGATTTACTTTAAAATCCCACATCGTAATAGTATGAAAAGGTTATATAAACATAATTTCCTTACTAGGCAGGGAAACTTAACACATTACTGTGATATAGACAAACTTAGAACTCAAAAGATTTATGTTCATTCATGTCATTCATTCACTGGTAAAATTGAATGGCCAATGGCCCATCAGAATGTTGTTGGGGTTCTAACCGGTAGGGGACTTATGGATTGCTTGCAATACTATGATAATTGCTTGTTTTTATATGACTTGTTTTCAATACTTTTCAGTCATGTGGGCCTCACAGTGTGAATTGTACAAATAAGAACGATAATTTACTTTGTAACTGCAAAGAAGGTTGGTATGGTAAAACTTGTCAAAACGATATAAATGAATGCCAAACTAAGCCTTGTCAAAATGGGACATGCCATAATGTACCCGGTAATTACAGCTGCACTTGTTATTCAGGGTACACGGGCAGACACTGCGAAAATGATTTGGACGAGTGTTTAACGGCGAAGTGTGCTAACAATGGTACGTGTATCAACTTACCTTACCCACAGAGGTATAGATGTGATTGTGCTCCAGGATGGGATCCTAAAAGCCGTTGTTATCATCATAGAGATGAATGTAAATTAAACCCTTGTGTTCATGGACAATGTACAAATAAAAATGGAAACTACATTTGTACCTGTAAAACTGGTTGGACTGGTAAGAATTGTGATGTCTGGGACAGATGTAAAGAAAACCCATGCTTAAACAATGGAACTTGTTTCAATGAACCTGTTAATCACTTGTGCAAATGTGCTAATGGTTGGACAGGGGACAATTGTTCTGCTGATATAGATGAGTGTAATACAATTAATCCTTGTAAGAACAATGGTCGATGCACAAACATTAATGGCGGCTATATGTGTGTATGTGGAGTCGGGTGGACGGGCCAAAACTGTACAGTAGATGTTAATGAATGTAGAAAGTATAATCCGTGTAAACACAATGGCAGTTGCAGAAATACACAGGGGGGATACTCCTGTAAGTGTGAAAAAGAATGGACTGGGGAAAACTGTTCAGTAGATATTGATGAATGCAGTAAGCATAATCCATGTCAACACCATGGCAGTTGCACAAATGCACAAGGAGGATATTCTTGTAACTGTCGTACTGCATGGACGGGGAACAACTGTTCAGAAGATGTTGATGAATGCAGTGAGCATAATCCCTGTAAGAATAATGGTAAATGCATGAATACCCCAGGAGGGTATTCCTGTCAATGTGAAAATGGATGGACTGGGAAAAACTGTTCAACAGATGTGAATGAATGCATCAAAGATAAACCATGTCAAAACAATGGCACTTGCATAAATAGTCAAGGAGGATATTCTTGTAACTGTCAAAGTGCATGGACGGGGAAAATCTGTTTAGAAGATATTAATGAATGCATCTCAAATAATCCCTGTAAAAATAATGGCAGATGCAGGAATACACAAGGAGGGTACTCTTGTCAATGTGAAAGAGGATGGACTGGGCAAAAGTGTTCCTCTGATATAAATGAATGTCATAACACAAACTTATGCCAAAATAATGGAAATTGTAGCAATACCCCGGGAGGATACAGATGTCACTGTAGCATTGGGTTTACGGGGGAAAATTGCACATCTGACATCAACGAATGTACCAATAACAAACTTTGCCAGAATAATGGAACTTGTCATAATGTCAAAGGAGGATATACGTGTACATGTCCTCAAAATTGGATCGGCAATAACTGTGAGCAAGATGTCGATGAATGTCACGGTCCTTCTCCTTGCAAACATAATGGAACTTGTAAAAACACTATCGGTAGTTATTCATGTGAGTGTTCAAAATATTGGAAGGGGAGTCATTGTGAAACTGATGTGAACGAATGTGATATAAGAAATACGTGTAAAAACAATGGAAAATGTAAAAACTTTAATGGAGGATATACGTGTGCTTGTACAACTGGATGGACAGGCAAAACTTGTAGCTATGATATAGATGAGTGTAAACTTCATAATCCTTGCCAAAATAATGGCCAGTGCACTAACATACAAGGAGGATACTCTTGTCATTGTGACATCGGATGGTCTGGAATAAACTGTTCAGTTGATGTTGATGAGTGCAGTAAACATCAGCCCTGTAAAAATAATGGCAGTTGCAGAAATTTCCAAGGAGGATACTCATGCCAGTGTCAAAATTCGTGGACGGGACATAACTGTACTGACGACGTTAATGAATGCATCTCACATAACCCTTGTGAAAATAATGGCGTGTGTAAGAATACACAAGGAGGCTTCTCTTGTCAATGTGAAAGAGGATGGACTGGGCAAAATTGTTCTTCTGATATAAATGAATGTCAGACAGAACACCCATGTAAAAATCATGCCATTTGCAGTAATACTCCGGGAGGATACACATGTCACTGCGACAGAGGATTTACGGGATTAAATTGTATATCTGATATCAATGAATGTCGCTCAAAAAATCCATGCCAAAATCAAGGAAATTGCACTAATACATTTGGAGGATATACTTGTATTTGTGACAGGGGTTTTACTGGAAAAAACTGTACATTCGATATCAACGAATGTATCAATAACAAACTTTGCCAGAATAATGGAACTTGCCATAACATAAATGGGGGATATGCGTGTTTATGTCCTCAAAACTGGTCCGGCAACAACTGTGAACAAGATGTCGATGAATGTCAAAGAATTTCTCCTTGCAAAAATAATGGAACTTGTATAAACACAAACGGAAGCTATTCATGTAAATGTCCCACATATTGGAAGGGAAATCATTGTGAAAATGATGTGAACGAATGTGATATAAGAAACACATGTAAAAACAATGGAAAATGTATAAATTTTAATGGAGGATATACGTGTGCTTGTACCACTGGATGGACAGGCAAGACTTGTAGCTCTGATATAAATGAGTGTAAACTTCATAATCCTTGCCAAAATAATGGCCAATGCACTAACATACAGGGTGGATACACTTGTCATTGTGACATCGGGTGGTCTGGAATAAACTGTTCAGTTGATGTTGATGAGTGCAGTAAACATCAGCCCTGTAAAAATAATGGCATTTGCAAAAATGTCCAAAGGGGATACTTGTGCCAATGCAGAAATTCGTGGACAGGACATAACTGTACTGACGACGTTGATGAATGCATCACACATAACCCTTGTAAAAATAATGGCGTGTGCAAGAATACACAAGGAGGCTACTCTTGTCAATGCGAAAGAGGATGGACTGGGCAAAATTGTTCTTCTGATATAAATGAATGTCAGACAGAACACCCATGTAAAAATCATGCCATTTGCAGTAATACTCCGGGAGGATACACATGTCACTGCGACAGAGGATTTACGGGATTAAATTGTATATCTGATATCAATGAATGTCGCTCAAAAAATCCATGCCAAAATCAAGGAAATTGCACCAATACATTTGGAGGATATACTTGTAATTGTGACAGGGGTTTTACTGGAAAAAACTGTACATTCGATATCAACGAATGTATCAATAACAAACTTTGCCAGAATAATGGAACTTGCCATAACATAAATGGGGGATATAAGTGTTTATGTCCTCAAAACTGGTCCGGCAACAACTGTGAACAAGATGTCGATGAATGTCAAAGAATTTCTCCTTGCAAAAATAATGGAACTTGTATAAACACAAACGGAAGCTATTCATGTAAATGTCCCACATATTGGAAGGGAAATCAATGTGAAACAGATGTGAATGAATGTGAAACCAGTTACCCTTGTAAAAACAATGGAACGTGTAAAAACTTTATTGGAGGGTATACGTGTAGTTGTACAACTGGATGGACAGGAAATACTTGTGCGTCTGATATAAACGAATGCAGTACCAATAATCCTTGTCAAAATAATGGAAGCTGCATTAACATACAAGGGGGGTATTTATGTAAGTGTGATATTGGTTGGAATGGAAAAAACTGTTCAATAGATAATAATGAATGTGTAACTGATCATCCTTGCAAAAATACCGGTACCTGTCAAAACAATCAAGGTGGTTATACTTGTTTTTGTGACGCTGGTTGGACAGGCAGGAACTGTTCGGTAGATATAAATGAGTGCAAAAATATCTTACTTTGTAGTAATCATGGCACATGTACTAACACTGACGGAGGATTTAGATGTAAATGTCCTTCGAACTGGGAAGGTATTCATTGTGAAATTGATGTTAATGAATGCGATTTCAAAAATCCTTGTCAAAATAACGGAAGCTGCACTAACACACAGGGAGGATATTCATGTATATGCCCTCCTTCTTGGACAGGTTCTTACTGTGCCTCACAAATGACCAACATTAAAATAACATCTCTTTTGACAAGCAAGTCATTAAGCACACAAACCTCATCACCGACTGATTCCACGTCTAAAAGTAGATCGTCCACTTCGTCAACCGAATCGCTATTAACAAGCCGTCCATCATTTCCATCTACCACGTTTTCGGTTACAACTAAAAATTCACCAAAACAATCAGACACAAGTAAATCACCATCTCTGTCACCTAAAGCGCCGAAACTAACAAATAGTTTTGCATCTTCTGTAATAACCTTTTCTACAGACAATACAAAGCCAAAAAATACAAGCCCTGAAGTAGTATCAACATCAAATTTTGAGACTACAACCCAAAAACCTACTGTGTCGTCAGTAACAAACAAACAGAATATTGTTTCTTCAAGCAAAACTTTTTCCAGTTCTAATTCTGCACAATCATCACTCCAGAAAAGCAAACCTTCAGTTACCACCACGTCTTTGAAAGACAATAAACATACTTCTAATGTTACCGTGGAATCAACTTTGCCAAGCACAACTTCACAAAAAAGCAGTGGTTTATCCGCTTTTTCTGCTGCGGCATGGTCATTAAGTAGTATTTCGTCAGTTTCAGTGACATCAAAAGCAAGCACAAGCAAGTTGACACTTCATAGCAGCACTCTTACCACCATATCTGCAGAAAAATGTAAGTGCGTTTTTTTACTAATGTAATTGTTACCTCGGATTACATCTGTATAACATGAAGAAACAAAATTATTCAGACTGTTTTCAGATTTTTAATTGAGTGCTTTTTTATCATTTCAGATATTTACACATTAGAATTTGTGAAAAAGTTAAGTGAGTCAGACCAAACAGATATAAAAAAAGGAATGGAGTTTTTGCTTCAAAACGACACCTGTTCTAGCAGTACTAATATAAATATCACAATATTAGATGATTGGAAAACGTCGTAAGTTAAATGTTTCATTTCAATTGATTTTTATGTGAATATAACATGCGTGTAAGTAATTTATGTTGTGCTTCTTCTTTGGAGATTGGAGAATCATCTTCAGAAGTGAAGGAGATACGCATATTGTTGATTCTATACATGCATCTGATTAATATATTCGTTTAGTATCATACACATAATATTCACAACAAGTGAAAACATTCAAAAATGCTTAAACTTTTAGTGACTGCGCGCATTCAGCATTTCATGAGATGCATTATTAGGAAGGTGTCAGAGTATGAACATATTAATTCATTGGTTAAACAACGGCAGCACATTGTGTTAAATACTTATATTTTAAATAGTAAGGAATGCAATCAATTGAAGCAGTATTTAAGATGTTTGCATTTAAAATAACTTAATACCATATGTTATTATGTAAGAACACGTCATATTATTTCTGCATATGCACCAAGCTATATCATTTCGAACATATCTAGAGATATGACTTCCGATGCCTAAAATTGATGTACTCGTATATGATATTTGTCCATAAATATGTTTGTTAAATTTTAAAACATCAAATATAAGGCACTGTAATAACAATAATGCTGTCTATTTCATTAATTGTTGCTGAATGTGAGAAAATGTATGTCTATATCAGTTTAACTGTATTTTAAATGATAAAATCTCTATACGGTATAATATATTGCTCGGTTAGTGCACCATAGCTAATATTTGATAGACACGTTCTATTTTTTGCTAAGTTTAGTCAAAATAAAAGATATTATTGGCAAAAATATACACATTTCTTTCACCAAGTTACACACACGGATACTAGAATTTGCAATAACAAATAAGGATACAAACACCGTATTTGAAATGATTGCGAATTTTGAAAATGTTCATATAAAGACATATGTGACTGCTGTTTTCCAATTTTTCAATGAAATCCTGCATGCTATTCGGAGGTGAAATATTTGTTTCCCTAAATAAAAAAGGTTTACTTATGTTTATCAGAATTAATTCTGTGAAAGTTCATGCGCAATGTGATGGTAGAGATGTCTCAAAAAAAGAAATTGATGAAGCGTTAAGTGCCTTAACACCACAAATGTTGAAGTCTCTTTTCCCCTTTGAATTGAAGCAAAAAGGCGGACACAAAGACGGTAATGAACCCGAGGTACGTATTGTCATTAACGTTTAAAATAAGTAGACTATTTTTTATTATAAATAAACAGTTAAATGTATAGATGTTGCGCATGACAAGTCGTCTTACTCTGCCAAATTATTTCAAAATCCTTTTCAAATAGCTGAGTAATTGACCCACTACGAAACTGGATAGATAGACAGACGGATCCATTTTCCACATCCCATTTATTTTGTTCAAAGAGGCGGGGACAAATACATGCATATTAAAGTAGTATAATATTGGAAAGGTACATTATAAATGTAAATCTTCAAATAAAATTCTTCTTTTACACAGGACACAAAACAGTATTATTATTTTTTCTAAGATTTTTAAACCGACCATCTGGTGTATTTGTCAGCGTTAATGACAACACCAGACATGAGGTATTCGTAATCCTGTAATCGTAATCGATTGCAATTAATTACAATTTGTCCGTGTAATCGAATGTATTTGATTACCTTTTACAAGTCGATTACATTTAATCGTAATTGTAATCATTGCATGCGCGAAAAATGGTGCAATCGTCGATTACATTTCAATTATAAATCGGTAATTTTGGCATAGAAAAACTTCAATTATGGAACTGCTATATTTTATACTTGTGCAAATATGATGTTTCATATTAAAAAATACTGCAACATGCACTGGATGTAATATGTTAAACTAGTTTTACTTTGAACCGATTCAATTAAAGGTGAAATTTATTGAATTGAAAAGTTTTACATTGCGTCAATTTTATTTAAAACTGAGTTATTTAATTTTACTGTTTTTTTTTTACTATACACAATCCTTAAATATTTTTACCTTTTGGTGTCAGTAACAAACAACTTATATATTCTGCCTGAGGTTTAAACAAGTATTTTTAAATCAATAACTGATATTGTACAATAATACCTAGTTTTCTGTTACCCTTACTGAAGATAATTGGTATAATCACTCAATAGAAGTGTAAAACAAGTTCATGATTTTCTGCTAAGTTTTTTTTAATACCACCAGATGCCAAGGGAATAACAAAAGCAAAGCGCGCACTGTGCAGTTCTTATATATCTGGTTAAACAACAACAACAACCTCAAATTTTGTACACTGAGTGATAAAACTTTTGGTAAATTTATTAAGATAAATGTAGCTCACACATTAAAGTTTAGTAGAAGGCACATGTCAGTCATCTTGGTTACTTTGTTAAATTTTGCAAATTTTGTGCTGCAGGTGAATAAAAATGACTGTCATTTGGATTTTGTTATCTGTTTATTGCTATGAACTCAATTTAATCGATTACATTTAGTAGTAATTTACCCCATGTCTGATAAACATATAAATGCAGTTTGCATTCTTTAACATAATCTTCCCATTGAAATGAATCGTTTCGTGATTACAGTTTTACTTTCTAAACTTCAAAATATATTAGGGAGTCGTATATCCTAGGCTAGTCCCGTCATAACATTTTAAAGGTAAGAGTCATTATTATGAAGAGTATTAGTAAAAGGTGGACTCAAAATAGGAGTGTCCTGCAACTTGTTATGAGAGAAGAAAATTAAAGCCGGAAATTCCACAAGTAATATTCAATAATCAAATGACTAAAATATTTATAACATGTTTTAACAAATGTTATTGTTTTCTTCACTTATTATGAATTTTGTGGGATTAGTGATGTGCAAAAAGTAATGTTTTACAGACGAACTGGATTCAGAAAAATATGATGGTGATAGTAGGAGTTGGTATTGGCGTCGTGCTGATAGCTGCTACTACAATTGGTTGTAAATGTTATAGGTAAGACATCAGTTTATTTTACAACTCTTCTTACAATAAATAAGTAAAAGAACTAACGTCTGATTTATGCTATACTGAAAATATTGTGCAATGAAAGGAAAGTCAGGCATGCAGTTCAGTCGATATATACCTTTAGAATATAGTTCATAATAAATAGAAATAACTTCACTTTCTTTAACGTTAAAAAGTGTATAAAGCTTTAACAAACGAATTTGTTTATAGTAAAAATATATTTTCCATAATCTTATGGTGTGTTTTCGGAACAACCTAGACATAGAATGTCTCTGTTATATAACCATTAATATTATAAGTAAACATATTTAAATGATGCGGAACAAACCTTTATGCTTCATTTAAAGGGTTTTAACTATTTGCATAAACCATTCACTGAAAGGTACTAGTAAGTATTTCTTTCATACGAAATATTGGAATTACATCTTTTTAAAAACTGAAGCACTAATTTTGAAAACCACATACAGATGATATTAAACTGTATATGGTTTAAGGGCAAAACACTGCAGTTGTTAAGGTTTAAAGTCACATTTACATATGTATCTGCATAAATATCTAGCGGCTACTACACAATCTTTCACAGGTCAAGAAGGAAAATGTTTTCTAACGAAGATGGGCCTTTGTTTGACGACACACCTACTTTTGTAGAGCTAAAAAAACGAGACAGAATTGTTAGCGGGCAAATCACTGCTACTGAAAATCCCCTCTATGATTCTTTCTCTTCCTCAAACAGAGACAGCTATATTGCTTAGTATGGATTTATGTGCTGATGTAATACATATAAGGTAACAGGTGGTTACTGTGCGATAAGATACTGACATTTATTATGATAATTATTTATTACTAGTGTACTTTCTATCATAGTAATAGTTTAGTTTATTTCAATATTCCATTGGACCAAATGATAAATGACAAGACAGTGTAAAGCATACATTTACAATAACATGTGCAAGTGGAGAAGGTATAACACAAATTGTTTATCATCATTGAAAATAAATATCAGAACAAAGGATGCATAATAATAAATTACCACTGTTTAGCACAACTTATATAAAAGTGCACGTTTTCTTTACCTTGTGATAAATGCACATGAATTATCGACGTAATTATTACATGTTTTTGTTAACAATGCTTGAATATTTAGCGTTTTTCTAAGGATAGAAATTATATAATAAAGTTTGTGTAAAATTGTTATTTTTTTAATTAGTTACAGCTCTTTTTGTTTGTTTTGCTGAATTCTACGTAAGTAATATTTACTCATAACTCACTAAGATAACCAGTCTTAAAGATAGTCAATGCTGTAAACACCAAGATAATAGTTCGAGCGTCGGAATGAGAATTGTTAGTATTTTTTCTACAAAGTCCATTATTCATGTATATTGCAAGAAGGATAACTATTCTATGCTTTTAAATATTTCATTATGTATAATTTTTAATCTAGTAATTTCAAAACCCTATTCAAATGAAAAATGAACATATATTGCTCAGTGCAAAACCCTACTACAATATACATGTAAATACTATTTTATCAAAAAAAGCTTTAATGTTTGTTCACAAGTTTGGTACCTTACTTTGGTACTTCAGCTTTAAATACAAACTTTAAGGAAAGTATAATGTATTGATTCGTGTTTCAACAATAAAACATGTTTGCCATGGTCTTGTTATGCGTGATCGTTTAATTTGCTAAAAAGTTATTTTAAAATGTGTCCTTTCCTCGTATGTTATTCTTTATTCGGCTCGTTAATCATTTAAGTTTGATATTTACTATTTTGACAGACTACTTATTTTATTTTGCTGAACAGGTTTTTGAGTGTTTTGCTCCAATTTTAAAACAAATTAAGGGCTATAACTATTATTGTAACTATTGCATTGCTCAGTAGACATTTGTTATGGTTTTATTTCTCTGAAGGACATGTATATAAAATGGACCATAGTTGGAGAATGGAAAACAAAGTCTAATTTATAAAGCCGTTTGTTTTATTCAAACATGTCAAGAAATGAGTATATACATGACAATTAGAGACATATAATATTAAATAATAAATATAGACATCTTTTAACAAAGTATGTATGTGGTGTATGACAATATTTAAGTCTTTTATTTCTTTATCATGTTGTCGCGTATTGCTGTTGTTTTATGTTGTTGTTTATATTTTTGTATATAATTGTTACCAGAAGTTATGTAATCTAGTGATTAATTACGATTTCTTCTTTATCAAACAAAAAACCATGTATGTTAATTTGAATGTTATTGTATAAATAAACCAGAATACTCAACAATCATTTCTTTTCAGAATACCCTGGGTGATTTAATAGAATTCTCCATACACAAGACAATGAGTTATTATAAATACATAAATATTTAACTTTCAACATTCAAATTCTCTAAATGATACCATTTAATCCGTCCTCTCCAACTATTCTAAACTGTAAGGCTTCACAAATATAATATATTGCTCAAGTCAAACTAGAAAATCCCTATGTAAAGATTTTAAAACACATACTAATACAAGAACAAATGTTGCTGCAATATGCAGCAATTGAGAAGCTCCGCGCAAAAATGCGCTTATTACAGATACCTTAACAGATCATTCCAACGCACAGGCCATTTTCCATTTAGATTAAGTACTTTGTACAATATTCCAGATGTTTTGTAAATCGTTTAAGTTTTCTCTAAGACTTGTAATGGGACATGACAGTAGTGCAACATTGTTCTGTTTGTGTCACAGTAGTCAGTAATTTTAGATTATAAAAAATATCAAAGCATGTGCATTTTCTTTTTCACCTTTAATACTACTCATGTTCTACAAATATCAACAACCAATCATGGTAAGAAATATCCATATGTAAATAAGCCAAAACAAAAACTTTCATCGATTTATTTTTCAAAATGTCCGTTACATTTTTCGCGGCAAATGGTATACCATGATATACACGTAGATGCAAAGCATCAAAGGGCGTCCAAGCAAGAAATCTAGCAAGTGAAGATGACATTCTAGACATCTGATGACCAGATATTCTTATAAATTTTTCAATGGTTAATTGGTTTTTACCAGAATTGTATATCATTTATGAATGAGCGGACGAGAGACATTGTTCATCATGAACTTTGGTAGGCATGCTAGAGATAAGAATATTAAATGTTTTTTTTCCACAAGAAATTGTATCAATATGAAAGATAATATCCAAAATATACCCCTATATAGTATATGTTTATTTTAACTATACAGGGGGTATTTTTGGATATTATCATTAATATTAGATATTTGATCGAATTTCAAGTTCCTGTGGTATTTTCGTTGGAACATACACAACAAAGTCTGTTAATTGATTTACTGGGAGGTCAATCTACTATTTTGTTGAATTGCTTCAAAATCCTCTCTGACCACCAGTGTGTTTACATTCCTATCAATAAACCATAACAACTCTTTAAAATCTAAATATTCTGGAAAATCAAATTTCCACTCAAACTACCATGAAACGGATTGCCTTCAAAGAAAATATAGAACAGCAAAAAATCGGGAAATTTGGGTCGATTTTAGCTAAAGAGACTTGAACAGCGAAAATGAAAATGATAATTCTGTGATATAACGATTCGTAAAAATGGCATACTTAATTTTTTTCTATAAAATTATAAACAGTGAAATTTATTGTTTGAATATGTTTGCATTTCATTTCCTGCAAACTTCTCCTGTTTGTTATTTATTAAGAATGACCGTTTCGTTAAACTTAAACTTCTTCTATAAATAGATTTTCGGACTTTCACAATGTTAAGGTCATCATTCTATTTCATGAACAGCAATAAAATATGCATTATAACCAAATAAGTACAACAAAATAATTAAAATTTCCTGTAGAAGATACAAATATAAGAAATATATTACCGAATTTGAGTATTTTTTTGTTTTGTCTTTTATACTGCTATTGGGGAAACAAATATATGACTTTTCATAATAGAAATCGGAAGAAATTCTTGATTCCGAATTTATTTTTAGCTGTAAATCGAAGGGAAAAATTGATAAAAAACGGGCCCATGGACAAAAACGTAGTAAACACAAATAGCTCCGCGACTGTTGGCAGGGAGCAATCACTAAAATGGCACATTATTAAGCATTTACATGACCAAAGATGTTTTGGAAGATTTTGTTGTTCAAACAAGACATTAATTCAGGGCTCTGTAGTTCACATTTGTTTCTCTCTCGCGCATGTGTCTGAAATGGGCCAGCTATGCTATAGTCTGAGTGGCATACATTGAGTCATAAACTGGGTTTCGAATGGTGATCGTTTCATTTCCGTCCATATCTTGAAGTTCTTCTACTATTTCTAGAGCAAATTCAGGTTTATGTTGTTTCTTTCTGAAATTAATTAGAAAAGGGTTATTTAAAAGTATTTTGAAAGCGGGAGCCTTTAGTATCACTATTACTTCAGTTACACACCTTGATAGCAGTGATTATTATAAATAGTCCATAAGTAGAAAAATGATGAGATTTAATCAACAACAATATAGGTAGGTTAGATTGACATAAGAGCAACGTATAGAATCACATACCGGTAGGTAATTAATTCAAGACTTAAATCATTCCAAATTTATTAACGTAAATGTAAGAATAAGAACGATGCATTCTGTCGCTATGCACTAGATAAGTATTGCTTTATACTCCCTATGTTTCGTAAATCTATGGCTCTTATTTTAAAGAATATTGATTGTACAAATGATACAATTTACGAAGATATAAGCAACACAGGAGCTGCTCCACAATTCCTGGTGTCATTTGCATTAAGTTGGAGTCATGGGTACTGAGAGAATCTATTTTAACCTTAGAAACTTCAGTGCTATTGACCTGAAACCAAATGTACTGTTAGAGATGCACGATAGGCACCAATATTCCAAATATCTCAAATCAATACATAAAGGTGCTATATTAAATGTTAAGCAAGTGTGAAGAAAGGAATGAACCATTAAAGAGACATGAAATGACTACAATATGATCGTACCTTTTACAGCGCACTACAACGACAATAACGATAACTAGAAGCAAGACACCGCCACCAGCTCCGGCTAACAACGGTATATTTGATGATATCCATGACTGTAATATAATAATGGTAAAATATGTATACAGCTTGTATTTAAAGCATTAACTTATGTGATGATAGCAATAATTGCTAATTATCTGTTAATAAAAGCAAAATACTAAGTTATAAAGATAAAGTTATTGTAATTATTGATTAAAGACGCATAAACTATCAATGTTAAAGCACAATTTAAGTCTAAACTGTGTTGAAATCTGTGGTCAATCATTCGATCGAAGGATCATTTCAAACACACTACCGTCAGTTTATAGAGAAAGACCGGTCCCCGGTTACTGGCGCTGGTAAGAGTTCATAGCCAGTATACGTATTGACAGCCATATCCTAAATTTTAATCAAAGGGCTGCAAGCTCTGTGGTATTTTCTGATCCCTGCAATCTAAATCGTACTGTATATCTGTATGTGTTTTCCTGCATCAGTTTATTTTTATGTACTATAAGTCATCTTGCAGGGCATTAGAGTTTGATACATACGGAATTTGCATAACTAGAGTTGCATCAAAAAATAATTTATGTTCATTTTTTATGATAGCCACACTTTATCCTTGCATATCGTGGCTATTTCATTAACAAAGACACTAAAAAAAAAGAATTAAAAAAATGTTGACTCGACTGGGATTAGAACTCCAGACCTCTCACACACCAAACGAGCGCGTTACCCCTGCACCACGGAGAAGTTTTAAATCAAAAGCTGAATAAAATCAAGTCATTCTAAATTTAGAATTTCCATTGCATTTCGGGTTAGGGTAATTTCGAGGTATTTTGTTCAGGGTAAACCCGTTGTTTAAAATTGAAGTATATAATTTAGCAAAAATCTTCTCGCCAAAACAGTCCAACATGTAGAAACTATATATTCAACTACTCGGCAGTCAGATTTTTTTGTGTAGTATTCGGTAATCGACATCGCTAAAAACAGCATTTTCATTGATTAAAATCATATTCATCCGCGTAATTTGTGAGTGTGCATTTATTGACAACTCTGTAAGCCAACGCTACTTTAAAAGTTTGAAGGTGTAGTAATTTGTTGGACACTTGTAACAAAATATTGTTCTTTCTTTTAAATTGCTGGTTTTTAAGCAGTTTTGAGTGAGAACTAATTTGCGTTGTTAGGACTGTTAGGAAATTTTGTGTTAGACCGTGGATGTTAGCTATGTATTATCTGATCTGCGATCAGAAAATACAAAAATGTGACTGGGACGTAAATGAGTAATATATATATTGCAATTACTTATATAATATATAAAACATACCTACTTAATTATAATATCTTACTTGTTTTTCTTTATTACTATTTGTATTTGCCAGCTTTACAGGGAAATATGTTGACAATGCATTATCTGAGAACGTTCGGATAGCTTCATTCACTTCGGCATTCGTCATGTGGTGACCGTCACACTGGGCATGAAATTCCACAACATTTGGGCTGAAAAATAAAATTAAATCGTGTGTATCTAAACATTTAATAATGAACAATTTAGAACGTCTGTTTATCAGTGTGTAAAACTGATTACGTCGCGATGACATATTCAAGATATCATGTCAATTATGTTTGAACTGTTCAAAATAATTAAATTCATGTTTATTTTAAATTTGATAATATTGACCGTATCATTAAAGCAACAGTAAAACTTCATCATTTATAGAAAATAATTGAAGATGAAAGCTTTTCTTCGAGAAGGAAAATCTAGAAATATGTATTTATATATTATATATTTATATGTTTTTATTCATTTTGTACTTATTCTTTTCACTAATATGATATGTAACGTGTCAGAAAACTGGTACATACTCGCTAACTGAATTGTGTATAAGTGACACGTATACATGTTTCGAATCGTGACACGTGAGTCTTTGTAGTAAACTCCTAATACCATTCTTTACTTGTGGCCTTTGTGCATCGGATACAGGGCCAGTAAATTTCAAGGAGAATACATCTGGAAAAAGAAAAGAAAAAAAACCCACAATATATCTATGAATATACTTTTGGATTAAGATATTACAGTATACTAGTAAATGTATATTGTCTTAACATTGCGTCATCATTTTAATTATATTGTCAACAAATTTGGACTTTAATATGCTCACCTAAATTTATTGGTCTGTGTACAGTTGTAGTAACTAAAGAAGATACTGGACCTATATGTTCCGCATTACAAGTGAAGCTTCCAGGATTATTCAAGCATGACTCCCCTCTACTGCACGGATGATTTCTACATTCATCGACGTCTGTACTACACACATCTCCATCCCAGCCTTCGGGACAAACACATTCAAAATAATCTACGTGGTCATGACATTTCCCACCGTTTTGGCATGGATTTGGCACGCAGTCGTCAATGTCTGTTTCGCAAAATTTTCCTGTGTAGCCATTTGTGCATATACAGGAATAACTATTCACTAAATCTTGACATTTGGCGCCATTCTGGCATTGGACCGTCAGGCAATCATCTTTGTTTGTTTGACATGAATTACCTTCCCATCCAACAACACAATTACACTGGAAACTTCCCCGCGAATTGAAACAGCTTCCGCCATTCAAGCATAATGATGAGTTTACACATTCGTCCACATCATTTTCGCATGTCATACCAGTCCATACTTTTGGGCAAATGCAACGAAAGCCTCCATTTTCGTTTTCACACGTGCCGCCATTGTGACAAGGGTTCTGATTTTGACATTCATTAAAATCATCAGAACAATTCTTTCCTGACCACGTTTTTGGACAATGACAAATATAAGAACCAACAGTGTTTTCACAAGTACCGTCGTTCTTGCATGTTTCACTTAGAATACATTCATCAATGTCGTCTGAACAATTTTGACCTTTATAACCGTTAATACAGTCACAATGATAACTTCCAATAGAATCCGAACAAACACCATGATTGCATATTCCATTATATTGTTTACATTCGTTAATGTTCACGCGACAACTTGCACCCGTCCAGGCTGCTACGCATGCGCATGAATATCCGTTTAATGTATTAGTGCATGTTCCATTGTTTGCGCATGGGGAGAGTGGACACTCGTCTACATCGCTTTCACATTCAGAACCTGTCCATTCTGCTGGACAATTACAAGTGTATGATCCGTCATTGTTATAACAAGTTCCTCCATTGTGACACGGGTTTCCTTGGAGACATTCATCAATGTCATCTGTGCAATTTGTTCCGGTCCATGTTTTCGAGCATGCGCAATTATAACTTCCTATACTGTTGCTACACGTGCCGCCATTTTTGCAAGGAATGTACAGCTGGCATTCATCGATATCATTGTCACAACTTTTCCCACTCCAGTTACTTGGACAACTACACGTATATCCACCGTCATTGTTTATACACGTGCCGCCATTATTACAGACGGAACCAAGACATTCATCCACGTCATCATTGCAAGTTTGACCAGTCCATCCGTAAAAACACGAGCAGCTTCAATAGTAAATAGATGACTTTTCACAAAGGAACTTATATGCTTTAAATGCTAAATAAAACATGGTTATAAGTATTATTTAATTGAATGTAAAGCATTGAGATATTTATGCATGATTTTAATTTTTCCTAGATAAAATGCTTAAGTTTATCGAGAAATCAAATTATGAAAACTTTATGTTTAGCAATTACTCTTGAGAATTCATGGTAACCTAAGAAACGAGGTTCGATATTATAAATCCTGCAAAAAGTTCAATAATATTCTTCATTCTGGTAAAAACTTACAAAAAGCTGCCATTTAGATTGGTACAGTTTCCATTATGATTACAGGCATATGACTGGGTGCACTCATTTACATCTATTTGGCAATGTTCTCCATTCCATAAATCGGTACAGTTACATTTGAAGCTCCCTTGAATTAAGAAGAACGACAAAATGACTATTTTATAGGTATGCATGTTAATACAAAAGTAATTTGATTATTAAACAGTTATTGACGTTTAACCATCAACAATTAAAAGGTTTTTTTTGTTATTTTTTTATGAAGACACTTAAAATATTTTTCGACACTTGTGTACCATTTAATTTAGTTCTAGGCTAATTATTTCAGATCACTTCCCACTCCCTCCATTTGCCAAGCTTAATTATTTTTCAGTGCGTTCAATGGCCAAAATAAGAAAAGCGTTGCAACGCTTTTCATTCAAACCGAGCTAAAGTCGTGCAAAAATCGATTTTCACCATTACTTGTTTCATTGAAGGAACTCCACTGCAATAATTTTATACTTGTATCATAAAATTTAAGAAAAAATTCAAAATTCAAATGGCGCAATTTAATGAAACCCAATTAATAGACAATAATAATAAATGCATTCGGTATAAATTTGTTAATCGAAATTTATGCTATTTTTGGGCGATTTAATGGAGGGAAATAGTTGCAAAGCTCAGCGTAAATTTTGTACAATAAAATTTATTATCCCTGGGGAATTTGTGTAGACTTACATATAGGTATACAATTATTCAGACTTGTAATCAGTATGACGCGTATAAAATATAACTTACCTGGTGTATTAACACAAATGCCGCCATTGACACATGGATCACTGGATAGACACTCGTCTCTGTCATTATCACAGTTAACACCATCCCAACCAGGGTAACAAGTACACACAAATCCACCAGCTGTATTGTGACAATCGCCGTGAAGACAGGGGCTATCCCCACTACATTCGTCGATATCAGATTTACACTGACTTCCGGTGAAACCATTTTGGCAATTACATGCATAACCACCAGCTTGATTCACGCAAGTAGCGTTATTTGTACACGCACTCGGTTCATGACATTCGTCAATATCGACGTCACAGGTGTCCCCCTCCCATCCAGACAGGCAATCACACGAATAGCCACCGAAAGTATTCGTACATATTCCGTTAAAACACCCGCTAAAGTTAATGCATTCATCGATGTCACTGTCGCAATGGTCGCCTGTGAAACCGGTATTGCAGGTACATGAGTATCCCCCAAATGCATTGCTGCATGTGCCGTTATTTCTGCATGCAGAAGAATTTTTGCATTCATCGACGTCCAGTTCACAGTAACTTCCGGTAAAATTGTTGCTACATATGCAGTCAAACGAACCTAATGAATCATTACAAAGTCCTCCATGTTGGCATAATGTTTTGTTGACGCATTCGTCAATATTTGTCTGACAAGTAGAGTCTGTCCAACCGTCATTGCAGTCACAGGTAAAATTAAAAGCCTCATTGTTACACGTTCCATTGTTAAAACAAGGGTTTATACTACAAAAATCAACATTTCCGGTACAGTTTTCATTTACTTTGTTGTTTGGACAGACGCCAATGCAGTGATATGATCCATAAGAATTCAAACATGCAAGTCCTGGTTTACATGGCTGATCATCACATTCATCGATATCGACATTACAATTTTTACCTGTAAATCCTTTAGAACACGTGCACGAGTATCCTCCACGTGTATTCGTACAAGTGTCCACGTGTGTGCAAATTCCCAATGTACATTCGTCTATATCGGTGTTACATATTGGGCCTGTCCAACCTGGTTTACAAATACAAGCTTTCTGTTCTGCACAATGTCCGCCATTTTTACATTCAGTATCGGCTGAAAACAAAACAATGCAATGAAAACAAAACAATATACAAACGTATACAATAGCATAGACAAACAATAAGAAAATGTATATAAAAAGTATAGACGTTCTTTTTTAAGCAAAACGAAAGACAATGTAAAATTGAAATATAATAAAGATACCATAGCAAAAGACTTTAAATGATTATCATTCATATCATCTTATAATTTCCAGTAAAAGAGAAAGATTTTGGCAAGTCTTTCTGTAGTCATAACTTAAAATAAGATAAATTATCAAAATTATCACTCTATAGTATACTATCCTCTTTGAACTTCTGATAAATAGCAAAAGCAAAGAAGAATTAATTATTAATGAAATCTGAAAGAAAAAAAGGTTGTTCAAAGTAAATAAAACTATCAACAGGAATCACCGTTATTTTGCATCTACTAATCATGACTAACCTCCATGCCAAATATGAAGACTAAGGGTCAAAGGAATCTGTATGTGAGAAGTTAGCAGTTAACAGTGAGCTAAGCAAAAAGGCATTACGATTTATATAGGGAAATCAATGATCTGCTGTTATGCTCAGCTGGGTAAGCAATCTAGCAGAGCATTCCAAAATAAAGTGTAGAAATGCTTTGCTGGTATGCTCAGCTGGGTAAGCAAGCTAGCAGGCAATTACTAAATATAGTGTTAAAATGCTCTGCTGGTATGCTCAGCTGGCTAGTCAATCTAGCAGGGCATTCCTAAATATAGTGTAAAAAAAACTCTGCTGTTATACTCAGCTGGCTAAGCAATCTAGCGGGGCATTCCAAAAGATAGTGTAAAAAGCTCTGCTGTTATGCTCAGCTGGCTAAGCAATCTAGCGGGGCATTCCAAAATATAGTGTAAAAATGCTCTGCTGTTATGCTCAGCTGGCTAAGCAATCTAGAGGGGCATTCCAAAATATAGTGTAAAAAGCTCTGCTGTTATGCTTAGCTGGCTAAGCAATCTAACGGGGCATTCCAAAATATAGTGTAAAAAGCTCTGCTGTTATGCTCAGCTGGCTAGGCAATCTAGCGGGGCGTTCAAAAATAGAGCGTAAAAATGCTCTGCTGGTATGCTCAGCTGGCTAAGCAATCTAGCAGGGCATTCCTAAATATAGTGTCATAAAAACTCTGCTGTTATACTCAGCTGGCTAAGCAATCTAGCGGGGCATTCCAAAATATAGTGTAAAAAGCTCTGCTGTTATGCTCAGCTGGCTAAGCAATCTAGCGGGGCATTCCAAAATATAGTGTAAAAATGCTCTGCTGTTATGCTCAGCTGGCTAAGCAATCTAGAGGGGCATTCCAAAATATAGTGTAAAAAGCTCTGCTGTTATGCTAAGCTGGCTAAGCAATCTAACGGGGCATTCCAAAATATAGTGTAAAAAGCTCTGCTGTTATGCTCAGCTGGTTAAGCAATCTAGCGGGACATTCCAAAATATAGTGTAAAAATGCTCTGCTGGTATGCTCAGCTGGCTAAGCAATCTAGCGGGGCATTCCAAAATATAGTGTAAAAATGCTCTTCTGTTATGCTCAGCTGGCTAAGCAATCTAGCGGGGCATTCCAAAATATAGTGTAAAAATGCTCTGCTGTTATGCTCAGCAGGCTAAGCAATCTATCGGGACATTTCAAAATATAGTGTAAAAATGCTCTGCTGTTATGCTCAGCTTGGTAAGCAATCTAGCGGAGCATTCCAAAATATAGTGTAAACATGATCTGCTCGTATGCTCAGCTGGCTAGGCAATCTAGCAGGGCATTCCTAAATATAGTGTACAAATGCTTAGCTGTTATGTTCAGCTGGCTAAGCAAACTGTTATACTCAGCTGCGGGGCATTCCAAAATATAGTGTTAAAAGCTCTGCTGTTATGCTCAGCTGGCTAAGCAATCTAGCGGGGCATTCCAAAATATAGTGTAAACATGATCTGCTTTTATGCTCAGCTGGCTAATCAATCTAGCGGGGCATTCCAAAATATAGTGTAAAAAGCTCTGATGTTATGCTCAGCTGGTTATGCAATCTAGCGAGGCATTCCAAAATATAGTGTAAAAATGCTCTGCTGTTATGCTCAGCTGGCTAAGCAATCTAGCGGGGCATTCCAAAATATAGTGTGAAAATGCTCTGCTGTTATGCTCAACTGGTTAAGCAATCTAGCGGGACATTCCAAAATATAGTGTAAAAATGCTCTGCTGTTATGCTCAGCAGGCTAAGCAATCTATCGGGACATTTCAAAATATAGTGTAAAAATGCTCTGCTGTTATGCTCAGCTTGGTAAGCAATCTAGCGGAGCATTCCAAAATATAGTGTAAACATGATCTGCTCGTATGCTCAGCTGGCTAGGCAATCTAGCAGGGCATTCCTAAATATAGTGTACAAATGCTTAGCTGTTATGTTCAGCTGGCTAAGCAAACTGTTATACTCAGCTGCGGGGCATTCCAAAATATAGTGTTAAAAGCTCTGCTGTTATGCTCAGCTGGCTAAGCAATCTAGCGGGGCATTCCAAAATATAGTGTAAAAATGCTCTGCTTTTATGCTCAGCTGGCTAGGCAATCTAGCGGGGCATTCCAAAATATAGTGTAAAAAGCTCTGCTGTTATGCTCAGCTGGTTATGCAATCTAGCGGGACATTCCAAAATATAGTGTAAAAATGCTCTGCTGTTATGCTCAGCTGGCTAAGCAATCTAGCGGGGCATTCCAAAATATAGTGTAAAAATGCTCTGCTGAATTGCTCAGCTGGCTAGGCAATCTAGAAGGGCATTCCTAAATATAGTGTTAAAAATGCTCAGCTGGCTAGGCAATCCAGCAGAGCATTCCTAAATATAGTGTAAAAATGCTCTGCTGGCAAGCTCAGCTGGTTAAGCAATCTAGCAGAGCGTTCCAAAATATAGCGCGAAAAATGCTCTGCTGGTATGTTCAGCTAGCTAAGCAATCTAGCAGGGCATTCCTAAATATAGTGTTAAAAATGCTCAGCTGGCTACGCAATCCAGCAAAGCATTCTGAAAATTAGTGTAAAAATGTTCTGCCGGAATGCTGAGCTGTCTAGGCAAACTAGCAGGGCATTTTTAAATAAAGTATAAATTTCGTTGGTCTGCAACTGACTATTGAGCACTCGTAGACTTTCTGAAATATTAAGTGCCAATGCAGATAATGACATTTTTTACTTGTACGGGACCCTCAATATCTATTTTTTTGGTCTGCGACTGATTCTGGGAATATGGCAGAATTTTTGGTGTTAATGCAGAAAATGACATTATTGAATTCTTAAGAACATCAAGATTCCATTTCGGTGGTCTGCGACTAATTCTGGACCACTCGCAGACCTTTAGAAATTGTCGGTGCCAATTGGAGATAATGACATTTTTACTACAAAAGGACCTTCCTGGGTCTATTTCGTTGGTCTGCGACTGATTCTGAGTCACTCGCAGACTTTCAGGAATTTTGGTGTCAATGCAGAAAATGATATTTCTGACTTATTGGGACCTTTCTGAATCCATTTTTTTGGTCTGCGACTGATTCTGAGGCACTCACAGACTTTCAGGAATTTTTGATGTCAAGACAGATAATGACATTTTTTACTTCTAGGGACCATCCAGGGTCCATTTTTTTGGTCTGTGACTTAATCTTGGACAGTCACAGACTTTCAGGATTGTTGGTGCCAATAGAGATAATTACAATTTATGACATTTTTGACCATCCAGAGTCTTTTTCGTTGGTCTGCGACTGATTATAGGGCACTTGCAGACTTTCAGGAATTTTTGGTGCTAATGCAGATAATGACATTTTAGGGTGAAAATGCTCTGCTAATGACTAAGGGGTCCTTAAAAGTAAAAAAGTCATGATCTGCAATGGCACTAAACATCCTGAAAATCTGCGAGTCTCAAGGAATCAGTCGCAGACCCAAGAAATGTACTCTGGCGGTTCCCTAAAAGTCAGAAATGTCATTATCTCCATTGGCATCAAAATTCCTGAAAGTCTGCAAGTGTCCCAAAATCAGTCGCAGACCAGCGAAATGAACTCTGGGGGGTCGCTAGAAGTAAAAAATGTCATTATCTCCATTGGCACCAGAGATTCCTGAAAGTCTGCGAATGTCCCAGATTCAGTCGCAGACCATAAAAATGGACTCTGGCGGGTCCCTAGAAGTAAACATTGCCATCATCTCTATTGGCACCAAACTTTCCTGAAAGTCTGCGAGTGTCCAACAATACGCTGCAGGCCAATGAAATGGACTCTTAAAGGTCCCTAGAAGTCAAAAATATGAATATTTCCATTGGCACCAACCATTCCTGAAAGTCTGCGAATGTCCAAGAATCAGTCGCAGACGACCAAAATGGACTCTTGAGGGTCCCTAGAAGCCTTAATTGTCAATATCAGCATTGGCACCAAAATTCCTGAAAGTCTGCGAGTGTCCTTCAAAAAGTCGCAGGACAATGAAATAGTCTCTTAAAGGTCCTTAGAAGTCAAAAATATCATTATTTCTATTTGCACCGAAAATTCCTGAAAGTCTGCGAGTGCCTCAGAATTGCCTAGAAGTCGAAAATGTCAATAAAACTTTAGCAACAATAAATCCTGGAACTCAGAATCAGTCTGCCAACTAAGCATTCCACCAGAGCATTTTTAACTATATTTCGGAATGCCTTGCTAGATTGCCTAGCCAGCTTAGCATTCCACCAGAGCATTTTTACACCATATTTAGTAATGCCCTGCTAGATTGCCTAGCCAGCTGAGCATTCCACCAGAGCATTTTTTCACTATATTAAGGAATGCTCTGCTATAGTGCCTAGCCAGCTGAGCATTCCTGCAGAGCATTTTAACACTTTATTTAGTAATGCCCTGCTAGATTGCCTAGCCAGCTTAGCATTCCAGCAGAGCATTTTTACACTATATTTCGTAATGCTCTGCTAGATTGCCTAGCAGCTTAGCATTCCACCAGAGCATTTTTACACTATATTTAGGAATGCCCTGCTAGATAGGAATGCCCTGCTAGATTGCCTAGCCAGCTGAGCATTCCACCAGAGCATTTTTTCACTATATTAAGGAATGCTCTGCTATAGTGCCTAGCCAGCTGAGCATTCCTGCAGAGCATTTTAACACTTTATTTAGTAATGCCCTGCTAGATTGCCTAGCCAGCTTAGCATTCCAGCAGAGCATTTTTACACTATATTTCGTAATGCTCTGCTAGATTGCCTAGCAGCTTAGCATTCCACCAGAGCATTTTTACACTATATTTAGGAATGCCCTGCTAGATTGCCTAGCCAGCTTAGCATTCCAGCAGAGCATTTTTACACTATATTTAGTAATGCCCTGCTAGATTGCCTAGCCAGCTTAGCATTCCAGAATAGCATTTGTACACTATCTTTAGTAATGTCCTGCTAGATTGCCTAGCCAGCTTAGCATTCCAGCAGAGCATTTTTTCACTATATTTAGTAATGCCCTGCTAGATTGCCTAGCCAGCTGAGCTAGCCAGCTGAGCGTTCCAGCAGAGCATTTTAACACTATATTTAGTAATGCACTGCTAGATTGCCTAGCCAGCTGAGCGTTCCAGCAGAGCATTTTTTCACTGAGGCTAGGAATGCTCTGCTAGATTGCCAAGACAGCTGAGTATTGCAGCAGAGCATTTTTACACTATATTTAGGAATGCCCTGCTAGATGCCCAAAACAGCTGAGCATTACAGCAGATCATTACCTTTCCTATATAAATTGAAATGCCTTTTTGCTTAGCTCACTGTTCACTGCTAACTTCTCACATACAAGGAATCTTAAGTTATTGGGCGGACAAGAAAAAACCGACGGACGGACGGACGGCCGGACGGACAAGCTGATTCCAGTATACCCCCCTTACAACTTTGTTGTGCGGGGGTATAATGAGAGGACAATTGTCAGGTATTGTTACTTCGGTCAAACAAAAAATCCAATGAGATGGTAATATTAATAAATGTCCCAGAAAACTTATGTTTTCATCTCAGTCTGAATTAATGACTTATTTAACATTATGCTTATTTGAAATGTCTCTATGATCATACTTCTACAGTCTGGTTGTAGTATTGTTTTTCCTATATCACACGAGGCTCCAACACGAGACTCGCACCTGGAACCTTGTCGACAATTTCCGCACCAGGCCATCACCTCAATACTTAATCTACAATGTGACAATATATGATCTTCTGTTAAATGATTTTAACTTTTTATACTACTGTAGATCATTGCTTTATTTAACATAGCAAATCCTTCAAAAGAAAACAAATTAAGTTAAAGATAACATTTAAAATCAAAATGATTTGCAACTTTGCAACATTTTTAAGATTCAGTTACTTCGATGACTTCAAATGGATTTCATATAAAATGTTTGGTCCCCAAAAATGAAAATGGGGTTCGATAAAAGACAATGTGGATTTGATTTTGACTGTTTTTAGACGGTCAATAAAAACTATATGCTAGACGAGTACATTATACATTTTATACGAATTTTCAGAATTATCTCGAGTCCAATTTGACAAGACTGGAGAGATTGCTGAGTCAGATGTCAAACCTATATTTGACGAGGTGCTATTATAAAGACTTGCTTATATCAAACCACCATTTTTTATTTAAAACGGGGATAAATTGATATTAATTCAACATAACGTTGTGGATACGCAGGATTACTGCTACAATTTGCTGCAGGAAAAATTGAAATAATGATTTTATATGCGAAGATTTTATATTCACAAGGTTGTTAATGCTGTAAGGAAAACAATGCATGGTTACATTTTATAAGATCTAGTACAGTACAACTACATATTGTAGAATAACTTACGCTAATAAATAATTCCAATGGAGAGACTTGCCAAAATGTCAAGATAAAAGACATAATTATGTTCACAAAACAAATGTAAAACTAGTAAGCTAAACAGCTTATAATTAAAAGAACAACCAGTAACGAAAACGTAATGAAAATACATGTGTATACGTACTTTGTCTTTCTAACTATTGAACTGTTAAATCGTATAGGGTAAGAATCGTAGAAGTTAGTCCCAATGACTAACTCCGACATCGAAAATGTGTGTTCTGCAATCTGCACTATAGGTTGTCGGATTGTGGTAATCATCACAGTGATATTGCCCTCTTCCGGCTTGAGAAAAAAAAACATATATAATACCAATAGTTTTTTCACACTGGGGTAAAGTACATGAAAGCAGCAGGTCTCAAGACTTGTGTTTATCAGAAATTATTAAAGAATTTGATTAAGAACAAATAAGAAGTATCTTTAAAAAAAGATGCTTGGCCGAAGTAAAGTCATATAGCTTGCATAACAATGACGTACTAATTTCTTGTATATAGGTTTATTAATCTTGAAAAATGGAACACTTTTAAGATGTATGTGTTTCTAAACAAACCTTCCGTGTTTCGGTAAGTGAACACAGTTTTTAACACCAATATTTACGCCGTCGTTAAGGCAATTATTTTTATAAATACTTGATTAATATGCAAATATATACATAAATTATAAACATTATATCAATTGAACATCAATAATCATACAATATATTAGACACTTATTTAAGGGTACCTGATAAGTTCTGATATCATTCTCATTATTTTAGACAAAATTTAAAACTTAGATCTTGTATGTAATAAACTCAGTAGGTTCTTGCGTAAAATAAAATGTTAACAAGAAAATGTTATGGGATATAAATGCAAGAAGTATTGTTAAACAGAACTTAAATATCTGAGCAATTTAACTAGAAAGTTAAAGAACAGTTACTGTCCTTTACATTTTATTTCATAATGGCAAGAACTATCCTTTACATTTTAGTTTAGAACTACCCTTTACATTTTATTTTAGAATGGCCAATGAGATTCCCAGATTTTATTTTGTAATTTTAAAATGACCAATGAAAACTCTTCTTATATTCAGTTCTTCCCTGTAAATGTTACAGGAAGTCAAACTGAAAACATCTACATCTACATCTACATCTACATCTACATCATACTGCTTAACAATCAATTATGATTATGACTAGCAGGCGCGTTGTCAGGGAACTGTTAATAAAAGAATTTATTTATGTGCAAATTAAAAAGTTAAAAGAATAAAAGTTCTACAGGACTATTAATTTAAAAACATAGTGTGCAGTTTAGAATTTATAGAATGGGTCAAGCCTCTCAGTAAAGATGTTTAAACTGGGGCTAGACTGAACTGTTAGGGGAAGGCTATTCCAAAGACGTATGCTCCTAGGAAAGAAAGAATTTTGATGATATTGTGTCCTCGAGTAGGGTATCAGGTAGTTCAGATTTCTTGTTTGAGTAAGGTGTTGGTGGTCTACAAAAACAATGTTGTTTTGGATTTTATACAAGTAGGTTACAGCACTGATGTTTCGACGCTGTTCAAGGGTTTGCCAATTAAGATCATTTATCATTTTTGAGACACTACTTGTATAGTCATAATCATTAAAAATGTATCTAGCAGCTGATCTTTGTACTTGCTCTATCTTATAAATTAAGTATTTCTGCCAAGGATGCCAAACTATGGAGCAATATTCAACCTGAGGTCTAACATAGGTCTTATATGCAGTTTCTTTTATCTTTTTATTTGGAGTTTTAACATTTCTTCTAATGAATCTGAGGGAGTTATTAGCTTTAGATGTGATGTTGTTTATATGTTTGGTCCATGAAAGGTCTTGACTAATAGAGACTCCTAGGTATTTCGCTTCTTGAGTTGAGTTTAGTTGGATGTTATGGAGGGTATAAGGAAATATTACAGGGTTTCTTTTTCTTGTTATCCTGAGAACTTCACATTTGTCAGGGTTGAATTCCATGGACCAGTCTTTTTCCCATTTTTCTAAAGCATGAAGGTCATCTTGGAGGGTTTGGGCATCTTGTTTGGATCTGATGGTTAGGTAGACAACAGTATCATCTGCAAAGAGTCTAACCTTACCTTTGACACTATCTGGGAGGTCATCTATGTAAGAAAGGAAAAGACAGGGACCTAATACCGAGCCTTGGGGGACCCCTGAAGAAACTGGTAGAATTCCTGATTTTTGACCTTCAACTACAACTTGCTGGAGCGTGACTTAAGGAAGGAATGGACCCAATTTGTAACCTCATAACTTATACCCAATCTTTCTAGTTTACTCACAAGTTTGTGATGGTCCACCTTATCAAATGCCTTACTGAAATCCATGACTATGACATCAGTTTGTTGGCCACTTTCAAGATTGTCATGAATTTCCTGGGAGAAGCTTACTAGCTGGGACTCACAACTCCGTTTTGACCTGAAGCCATGTTGATAGGGGCTAAGGATGTTGTGTTTATCATAAAAGGACATAATATTGGACACTAAGATGTGCTCCATCAAAACAGACCGGTCTTCGGTCGGAAAAATAGCGTAAGGGCTTATAATAGTCAAAAACTGTCCATAACGTAAGGAGAAGTTATTACTACTTCGTTAGTAAAATATGTTGTATAATTAGCCAATCCGGTCATATTTTGTATAATACGTACAGATAGACTATCGTACGGAATGGCTATAATTGATATTTCTTTCATCGGTGTATCTTAAGAAAATACTTAAAAGAAAGAAGAAAAAAAACTTTTGTAACATTCAAATGAATCTACCCATGTGGCCAGTGTAGACTATAATCAGGATGGTACATCTATTAATTGATGTTGCAACAATTCTAACTGCAACTAAATTCGACTTTTTGTTTCAGTTTTTACAAGGGATGGAACCTGTATGGATGTCAAAATTGAGCTTTGGTAGAAATCATATGTGAACGAGAAAATAGATCAATGGTGTTATGGTGCACATCTTGATCAACGGTAATTCATTTATACATTTACCGGTGCTCAATGTTGAGATCCATACGACTTTATTCATTTATAGTAAAAAATATCATTTACCGGAAGACTTTCTACAACAAAAAGCATGGTTGAGTTGTGTGTGTTTGCTGTCGTCTGCAGCTTACTAAGGTCAACAAGGTCACCATTGCAGTCAGTTAGGTCCTTTGTTTCTAATACAGATATAACTGAGGCAGCACTGAAAATGTTTAAGCAGTTAGATAATCATATTTATATTAAGTGTAAGTTTAATACTGAATTCATTGAACGAGTTGGATAAAATTAAATAATATTATTTTACTCAACGAGTTCAATATTTTTAGTAATGAACTAACACGAATTTAATATTCTATTTATCATATACCAAAAAAGACCGTTTGAAGTGACAAAGAAACATTATTCATTGACGCCTATAGTATAACGCTACGTAGTAGTAGTCGTAGTAGTCGTAGTCGCAGTCGCAGTCGCAGTCGCAGTCGCAGTAGCAGTAGCAGTAGCAGTAGCAGTAGCAGTAGCAGTAGCAGTAGCAGTAGCAGTAGCAGTAGCAGTAGTTAGTAGTAGTAGTAGTAGCAGCAGCAGCAGTATAAGCAGCAGCAGTAGTGGTAGCAGTATTAGCAGCAGCAGTAGCAATAGTAGTAGTAGCAGCAGCAGCAGTAGTAGTAGCAGCAGCAGTAGCAGTAGCAGTATTAGCAGCAGCAGTAGCAATAGTTGTAGCAGCAGCAGTAGCAATAGTAGTAGCAGCAGCAGCAGCAGAAGTAGTAGTAGTAGTAGCAGTAGTTGTAGCTGCAGCAGCAGTAGTAGTAGCAGTAGAAGTAGCAGCAGTAGTAGCAGCAACAGTAGCAGTGGCAGTAGCAGCAGCAGCAGCAGTAGTAGTAGTAGCAGTAACAGTAGCAGCAGCAGCAGAAGCAGCAGTAGAAGTAGCAGCTGTAGCAGTAGTAGTAGCAGCAACAGTAGGCAGTAGTAGCAGCAGTAACCGTAGCAACAGTAGCAGCAGCAGAAGCAGAAGTAGTAGTAGCAGTAACAGTAGCTGGAGCAGTAGCAGCAGCAGCAGAAGTAGTAATAGCAGTAGCAGTAATAGTAGTAGCAGCAGTAGCAGTAGCAGCAGTAGCAGTAGAAGTACTAGCAGCAGTAGCAGTAGAGGTACTAGCAGCAGCAATAGCAGTAGCAGCAGCAGTAATAGTATTAGTATTTATACATACCGACGTTTACCATATATCAAAATTTCTTATGTACATAATATTATAATAAATACTTCTTCAGTACAGGATTTCATGTAAATTTTTTAATTTTGTAAGTGTCCTATAAGAAACAGATTTTGCAAAAGCTATAGCCGTATACTTCATTTTAAATTCGTGCTTTCAAATTAGACCAATTTGAATCTTCTTTCATGAAAATTGTTATTATAATTGCTTTAATACTTTGAGTTAACAAATTCAAAGACTTTAAAACACATACGTAGACCAGGAAAATGAAATATTAAATCTTGGCGAGCATAACAGGTTGACACCCTTCGAGCAATTCACAGTACGTAAGTTTTGGAAATCAACCATCCGAACTAAAATAATCAGTTGTTGCTGAAACAAAAAGAAAAGAAATAAAAATAACAAGTGAAAATGAAATGTTAGAAATAAAAAATCACAAACAATTATCTTTGACCTGCAACAGTAATACTCTATCCGTGGTTCAAATTGAATGAAGTTATTACAGTATTAAAATAGTTTAAATTAAATACTAAAGAACAGATCAATACAGTGCACAATGCATAGTGCAAGTTTTGTCTGCAATACATGTAGTTATGTTTTCTGTTAATTTAAAGTAATAAAAAAATGAAGCTCAAAGCTAGTTTTTTTTTTAATGTGATGTCATTTTTCCCTGCAGGGTATTGGTACGCGTTTAACTTTTGAGGCATGGAGGAGCACGTGACCTGTTTTCGGTACATGGAGGAGCATGTGATCTGTAAACCGTACATGATTGGTTAATTGACATTTTCGAAAACCTAGCTAAATACCGTTTCCCGGTACGTTACGGATTTACCTGTAAAATCTACGAAATTTAAATTAAAATATTGGTAGTGGCATCTGCCATAATAAATAGAGATATTTTCTGCGTAAACTTGTGTGTTTACTTTATTTATTTTTTGCTCGGAATTATTCATAAAATGGTAGGCCTATTTAATCATTTTCTTAAAAAGAAATAATTGTTTTATGTTCGACCTTCTCCGGTCTTCAACCAGTTTCCAAAGACCTTCTCCTGACAAATTAATTTTGAGCATGTGACAAAATTTCTTATGAAAGCTGCGTTCCTACAGATGAGCCAAAGTTTTTCAAGAAAAGCAAACTTGAAGAAATGTACCAATATTTAAACTTCAAATATTGAAGCAATAATTACTAGTAACATGTTATAATTTATGACTTATTTTGTAGTATTTAGCACCATATTTCTACTGCGGAACTGACGCAGTAAGGGCAATTTTTGTATATTCTGACCTATTTCTGTTAATTTTCGTAGAGTTACTGTACTGTACCTTGCTCCCCTGAATATAATGAAAAGACGGGCTAATAACAGGCGAAGCAAAATAATCTTCCAACCGTGGTAGTCTGGTTACCACGTTATTCATCAAATATACCACTTCTCTGAATTTTAAACTGGAAACCGGACTGTTGTCGCAAAATCCTTTGAATACAACGTCCACGTGACCATCTCTGCTTTCGTTGTAAAATAGAAACAAAAAGCAAAATCAATTCGTTCAAATCAAGGAAATTAAAAAACAAAATACAGAAAAAAATGGTGAATCAAGATTGAGAAAAATAAACCAGAATTTTTCGGTATTATAATATCATGCAACACATGTCCGACTATCTAAATAGAGAAGAAAAAGATTCGTTGTTCATTCGGTGTCCCTGGTTCTATCCCCGGGCTAGGCGAAAATACTCCGTGGGACAAGTGGAGGTATTGGTAGCTGTCGTATTGATGGTGGTTTTGGTACTAGTGGTTGTAGTGGTATTCGTGCTCGTACACAAAATGATGGTGATGGTAGTTCTCGTGGTGGTGGTGGTGGTAGTATCGGTGGTACTGATGGTGGTGTTGGTAGTAGTATCGGTGGTACTGATGGTGGTGTTGTCATTATCATCATTTTAGTCATAATCATCAGCTTAGATTCATAATCACCTAATAAACATACCTGTGCTCTCTTATTTCTTGGATATTTACGCTGATGTTCTCGGTCGTTTTAAGACATACATAGTTAGCTAACATATCCACCATGTAATAATGGATATTTGATGCGTTTTGTAAACCTGCTACAGAGTCCTGTATGCTGAACACAAGTGTATCTGTAACAACAGCATAAAATATACTGTTTACAACCTATCCAACGTAAAATAAGTGATTGATTGATTGATTGATTGATTGATTGATTGATTGATTGATTGATTGATTGATTGATTGATTGATTGATTGATTGATTGATTGATTGATTGATTGATCGATCTGATCGATCGATTGACCGACCGACCAAATGACTGATTGGCGTACTTAAAATATTTAAGACCTTCCTAAACACATATTCAATATTGTAGTTTATAGATGCAATGTATGCGTATCATATATACCTGGATCTAAGCATTCTTGCTTTGGAACAATTGAACCATTGTACGTGCACTCGTGAAAAGAGTCAACATGGCATCTCTGGTCACATGACTTGCCGTACCAACCAGTGGCACACCAGGCCCGCAGACGAATGTCGAGACTGTGAACCAAACAATTTAAAGGTTTTAAATGTGGTGTAATATCATTATTAGTAAAAAAATACAATAGTAACAGAATGTCTATTGAACTTATGATGATCACTTGTATTACATTAAACACGAAGTGTCTGACATTCTTATAAAATAATATGTGATATTCAGTATGTTTCTAGAGTCAAATTTTAATCCGTCGTTTTATTTTTGTATGTATGTCAGCCTACGTTGTGGAGATTTCATTGCGTCAGAACATTTGAAAACTCCCCCCCCCCCAAAAAAAAAAAAAATCAAAAAAAAAATCATAACGTCATGCAAGTTATGATCATGTTATGTATTACATGTACACATTTACATTTTAAAATAAATATTATATTCTTACCTAACGTGACTAACCATAGAAACTATATTTTCAGTTGCTGTCCAATAGTTAGCTGCCGGGTCAAAGTTCAGAATTTTATTGAAAACATCAATTAGGTCGGGAAACACGTGCGGATCATTACCCGTGCTCGGCAGTTCGTCAATATCCAATACGTTAATAATTAGTGTTGTTATACCCTATGAAAATATTAACTATTCATAAAACATGTGTTATAATTTTGATCTTTTACAGGATTCTTAAGCAAAGAAAATAGATAAAATAGTTCTGATATGTGACTTTAAGCACCATAACATATCGGTAATTGTTTTCTGTAATGCTCTCTATGAATATGAAAAATAATAATTGTTAAAAAACGAGTACACATCTGTTTTTATCATTAATTTTATTTCATTGTAAAATATCAAACGTACAGAAATTTTTGAAAAAAAAGTGTTTTTTTTCTCCTTTGCAAAACGTTCTTATTAACTATTGTTAACTATTATGAACTATTGTATCTAAGTATAGTTAATTATCAACATATAATTGAAATGTCACAACATAACTTAAAATTAGCTACCAATCTAACGAACATACCTTAGTCCATAAAGTAACGTTGACAAAGCGTTTCAGTTTTCTGTTATCTGAGATTTTTAACACATCACGTGATACATCTTTTTCCATGTCAATAGACGTGCCATTACATCCAGCATTATTGGGGTCATTACTTTGACTGAAAAAAATAAATTACATATATCAAGTACAATAATTACTTTAATGCAATACTTTAATCAAATTCTTGTCAAATTTCGGCCTATTTCGTCAATTTCCGGGTTTTAAAAAGATACGGTACGATTTAATATGACAAGGATCATTAATAATTCCGTAATCGTTATTAAAACGCTTTAGACATCACATACGGCCAGAGGAACTATTGAACTAAAATAACGAACATATTTCCGCTGACACTTAAGCATATGTGGTTGTGTGTCAATTGCAATCCCGATCCCTTACTTCCGTATTATTTTTGGGGCAACTTTTATTTCGTTAAACCAGCCGGATTGATCAGTACCTATGTTAATGCCAAATTACCCGCTAAACACCAAACCCCCAAACAAACATAACCTCCCATATAATAGACTCATTGTCCCGCCACCAATACACACACGCACACGCGCACGCGCGCGCGCGCGCACACACACACATACACACCGCCTGCATCCGAAGAAACATTTGACTATTGTAATGTACTACTAACGTAATACGGGAGTAAAAATGTGATGTGTTCAACCAGATAGGAATGCCAAATGCAATAAGTTTAAAAGATTGTTACATTTGATGTGGCATCAAATCCGTGGGGGTCAAGTTCCTGATTAATAATACTTTCGGTGTAAGTTTCGTTTTATATAAAATTTCTGAGGTTATCAATGTTTAAAACAAAAACTGCTTATTCTCAAGACTCACTGTGTATATCCAGTAACGCCGGAATGTGAAAATAACGCACGATTCGTGCAATATGTAACGCAGAATTGTGCAATAAATGGCTGATACTTGATAGGATTTCTAACTGGCCAATATGTTTTTTATTTAACCGAACTGAAATTAAGGAATAGACGCATACGGCTGCGAAGACATTACTTTTTATCCCTCATTAAGATTATTTCCACAAAATTGCTTTCTTTTCAAGATCAATCGTGGAAATGATGGCTTGACCAACGTTTTGAGCGAGATTTTGGCTTTTTGTCGACTCTTATAAATACAACAATGCATAATTATTATACCGTATAATTACGATTTTCGGTAGGCAAGTGACATTTACTAAACTTCTGGTGACATAGAAAATTTAAAATAAGCTGATAAAATGGGATTCAAGTCGTTTTTATGAGGTAACGCCAATGTACGTGAATAGTGTTTTGCTGTAGCGCCGGAAATTGTGATTTTTTTCACACAGGTTTAACGTCTTTGATGAGCGAGAATAAAGCTTTTATTTGTTCATTTTATCTATTTTATTTTATCAGCTTATTTTCAATTTTTAAATCACCAGAATTTCACTTACATACCGAAAATCGAAATTATACGGTAAAATATGCATTGTTGTATTAATGGCACAATTCTGAGTTACTTGTTGTACGAATCATGCGTTATGACGACAATTTTGAGAAAAAATCATTTTCAACTTTAATTAAATAAATCATTTGAAACTCTTAACTAACAGGTAAAATATTTGGGGAAAAACCTTTCCCACACGTATGGAAACCGACGACCAAAATAATACCTGCCAATGCAGAAAGTGAAGTATACATCACATTTATCCGAGGTAGTCCGACAGTTACTTCCCCCGGTATCGCAACATTTCCTCTTACTTCCGGCCTGCTGTCCTATATACGATGTTCCCAGAGGGTTATCAAACTGCACAACTGACAATTCTAATTCTACCAAGCACAATGCTCCCTTTATTGTAAAAAATAAATTTCAGTAATTAGTATTGTTCTTCATATAACAACATGTGATTTAATAACAGAAATATTTAAAGTATTTGATAAAAGTTTTCATACAATAATGAAACAATCATAAAGTCAATAAAATACTATTGTATTATGTATTAGCTGCTTAATTACTCTATATTCATTCTATGTTTGTTTATTATTATTATTTTTATTGTTATATGCATCCTCGTTATTTATTTATTTTTTTTTTATTTGTTTATTTATTTATTTATTTATTTATTAATTAATTAATTAATTAATTAATTAATTAATTAATTAATTAATTTATTTATTTATTTATTTATTTATTTATTTATTTATTTATTTATTTATTTATTTATTTATTTATTTATTTATTTATTTATTTATTTATTTATTTATTTATTTATCATTATCATTATCATTATTATTATTATCATTTATTACAATGTAATTTCATTTTATTATCTAATATTCCAACAACAGAAACATTTTAAAATTCAATTGAATTCTATTTAATTAAACAATACATGTATCATCAAATTTCATCTGAAATTAATGGACAGCTTTTTTAAGTAAAATATCAGCGTGTTTTATTAGTAATCAGTTTTTGTCATGAACATTTAGTGGCTTTACATGTCCGTAAATTTTATGAGCTCAACTTAACCGAAATCCTAAATTATATCTTTATTAACAGTTTCTCTAGTTTCTCGTATGTAAGAAAAAAAACTTTATAAAAATTTAATTAAGAGTTTGTTGATTATATATATTTAAATTATATGTTTCCTTTTAAATGTTGACGATTTGAGTCGACTTTTCTGTTAGGCAAGTTATATTTCTACATTACTTATTAAAAGAAATAAACGCATTTTCTATCAATCAAGCCGTGGTCGAGGGGTTAGAGTTGATGACTTCTAATCCAGTTACCTCTCTGGCGTGGGTTCGATCCCCGGGAGATGCTTTGGTAGTTTAGCGGGGAGGAAGGTAGTCTAGTACTGATGTAACTCTCCAGGAACGATGGTTAGGAAATTACCCGCCTATATGACTGAAGACTGTTGGGAAAAGGTAAAATGAAACAAACAAACAAATCAAGAAAAACAGGGTAATATGTGTATTTTTAAGATAAATACCTGTGGTTTATTTATCTAAGGAAAATACTCATGATTGTATTTTTTTTAAAAATATACAAATATACACTTGAGATATTATTTTGAAGATATACACGAGTGATTATTATATTTTTAAAGAAAAACACATGTGATTTTATTTTTACGAAAAACGCGTGTGATTATATCGTTTTGTGATTCTTTTTTTTTTCTCTCTTTTTTTCAGAAAACTACGAGATACAATTTTTTTCTTCTTCAAAACATGAGTTCAAGTACATTAATCAATGGTAAATGAAAGAAAAGCAAGAAAGTTGGAAAGTAGCAAACTGACATACCTGAACCAAGAAAAGGTATGTCAAACAAATGTAAATTCCTGAATATTTCATTTTTGTAAATATATTCGTTTCTCGTCACATCAATTATAGCATTGAAAATAACACGGGCGGTTATGAAAATAATGATTTAAATATGTTAATTTGGCATGACTCCGTATTATAAATAAAAACAATTAAATGTCTCATTGTTTCATTGTTTTCAAACAATGTATAACCTGTAGATTTAAATGATAGGACAAGATATCTTATTCATAATAAACGATTGAAAGTAAACACAATTTAATCTGTGAGTGTTAACTTTTATACATCAAGAGTTTACTCTAAATGATGTAACCTAAATCAATAAAATTATAATTATAATCAAATAAAAAATAATAAGGGGTGGGGGCAAAATGTTCTAGCATAAGATGATGTCAATTAGCAGGGAATTATTTTTTAGAAAGAAGCTATAAAATACTACATCGTACAAAATAAATAATGAAAATCATAATTGCCTTGAGTGATATTGTTTTATTATCAAATTAATTGCTAGTAAATTAAATAATATTGTAAGGAACATTACTGTTGATTAATAAGGAATTTTTATTTGCTTGAGTTATATTGATCTTAGGTAATAGGCCGATTATGTTCCAGAAATGCTTTTATTTCAGTTTTATTTTTGGTGTCAAAAGTAACTCAAAGTCCAATTAACTTAACCGTCTTTTGCTTCTGTTGCTTCTGGGCAATTTAGATATATAGATTTAATATTTTGTATGGAAGTCAAAATACTGCTTTGTTTACGTTTTGCTACTTAATTTTAAACTAGCTGTACTTTGTTCGTGTGATACGCATCAAACATACAGTATTTAAACTTTATGAAACTCACGTGTGCCCTTATATTTGTTTCTGAGGAATAATGCATTCAATAAACTTAAAGGCTTTATGTTATGTTGATTCATAACCACCTTCTTTATTACTTTGAGTTATATTGATTTCAAAGAACTTCATTTCTTTGTATTACATTAATTTGTACATAGTTATTTAACTAGTGCGGGTTATATTTATCAAGGAATTTTATTCCTTTAAGTTAAGCTGACTTTAAAGAACTTTACTTCTTTGAATCAAATTGATTTTTAAGAAACTATTGCTTTGAAACACGCTGATGTTCAGGATATTTTAGCACTTAAAATAGTATTGCTTCCTTTCAGGTAGATCTGATTATGATAAATAACAAACAAAATTAAATCCAGGAGAAAATAGTCAGCAAATACTTGTTTTTGTTTGTCAGAAATAATTCATTTACATGTTACCAAATGCTATATGAAATATTAATTCGAAGCATATTCCCTTTAAACTATAAAATAACAAATACTAATGGAGTACCAAAAGAGATTTCACACAGCCATATGATATATTGAGGTTACTATGAATTCTTGAGGACAATACTGAATTATATCAGACGAATACACAGCAGTTAAATTAAACCTATATTGGGCGAGTCCCTGGCCAAGTCTGATATAGGGTTTCAAGCTGTGTACGTGTCCAATAGAATTAGGATAATGGCCTCTTTATTTCCTTCTTTTCATTTTGTTGTTGACATTTTGACAGAACTTTGTTGAAAATTCAAAATTAGGCTAGATGGAGTACGATATGCATTTGATAGAGATGTTTTGGACTCTGAAAATAGAAAAGCGATGTTATACGGGGTAAGATATGCATTTGATAGACTCGGGTACGTGCGGACGTCAGCAAAGTAAATACGCTGGTTATCAGCGGTATCTGTTAGCCACGCGAGGTGTTGAAATCTACCGTGGCGATAACGTAGATAAAACCGCTATTGTCAATATAACTGATATATGAAACAATGCGGTGATAACTGTCTGATACAGTAAGATGATGTCAGATATAAAGTTACACATTAACCAAATAAATATAACGTTGAAAGTTTGTTAAATTGGCTACCCAACCTATATATGTAGATGTACCTCTGATACGTTTAAACTGCAGTCACTGAAGTCTAACGACAATTGGAGTAGCAGATATTGTTTGCCACTCTCTCTTAAATATTATAAGTCCATTTAGTAAAATTCGTACTGACATATTATCCCACACTACACCATAACCCCTCTCCGCTTTTACCTCTAGATCCTTTAATATACGAAAATGTCATCTAGTAGTCATATTAGATTTTGGAGGAGAGTGTAAGATACAGAAAGATGTTCCAATTCCAGACGCTTCTCGTGTTTCTTTAGCTGTCCAAGCGTTTACAAGCATCATGATCTAACCGATTGAGCTGGCTAATGACAGAATGGTGGTGGTGGTGGTGGTAGTTTAACCTCTATATCGGTAGTAACTCACCTTGAATATACAAGAGCATAGTTCAGCCACCGCGTCGTTCCTGGACAGTCTGTCAAGCAGTTTACAAGTAGGCCTACTAATAGCTTTCACAATGAACTGTTAACTTCTGTACATGTCAGTGCACAGGCACAGTGTGAAAAGCCGAATAAATGAGCACATGATCTACCAAAACCAAAGTTTCAACATCCGAGAATCGAACCAGAGGCACCGAATTCTTAGTCCGAGGCTGCACCTGTTTAAAACCCCCATATGTTATCTTAACGGTGTCCATCTGGGCACCATGAGACCATGCATGCAACAAGCTTGCGATGTACCTCATACCGCAAGAAGATAACTCCGAACAAAATCTTGACACCGAAAGATCGCTGACCGGAGACCTTTTAAATTTAACAATTTCAGTCCGTTCAGAAGCCGGTATCCCATCAGTGTAATGTGACGCAGGTTTTTGTCAGTTTCTTTAACGACGGTGGTGATAGTCAGTCGTACTGTCGTATTGTCACCATCGTACTGTCGCCTTCCTGTTAGGCATGCACATAATTAGCATTAGCATTAAACATAATTATAAAAGCCTGAACAGACGGTAGGATTTTGAAGTACAACACCAATTAAAACTAAGATGTACAGGCAAATCTTAATGTGTGAAGGCTACTATTTCTTGAAAGTCTACTGTAGATGTAAGGGATAGGACATGTTCTATTTTGAAAATCTTGTCATACAGATTTCTACAGACCTCTCACAATGACAAGTAACAGATAACCAAATTATCTCCTGATAATGGGTGTAATGAATGAAATTCCAGAACAATTAGGACTAAAAGGTCAACATAGTAGTAAGATGGGGTAAAAATGATGTTGAAAAACTCTTCAGGAGACCCAAAGTGGTGTAATGTTCGAATCCCAAATTATTCCGAAAATGATTATGTCACGGTATTGAACTGTTCTCTAATAAGGGGAGGGGAGGTAGTTTGTAGGCGGCCGGATAGCTTAGTCAGTAGAGCCACAGTACGATATTCCGAGGGTCTCAAGTTTGAGTCTCGGTCAGGCTTCACATTAAAAAAATATTTTTTTTTTTAAATGGAGGTGTTTCAATCATTACTCATGGCGAAAAAAGTATTTAGTGAGTTAAGTACGTAAAGGATCAATGTAAACGGATCCTTTTTAGGGAAACCTCAGACGATTTCTACAGTGTAGAATTACCGTCTGAATGCAAGTGTAATTTAATAGGCCTCAACAAACGGTAGGATTTAGTTGTACAGCACTAATTAGAGATAAGATGTACACTTTTCAAAGCTATTCAGACGGTAATTCTACACTGTAAGAATCATCTGAGGTTTCCCCTAAAAAGGATCCCTTTACATTGATCCTTTACATAATTTACTAACTAAATACTTTTTTCGCCATGAGTAATGATTGAAACACCTCCATTTAAAAAATATATATATTTTTTTTTTAATGTAAAGCCTGGCCGAGACTCAAACCTGGGACCCTCGGAATACCGTACTGTGGCTCTACTGACTAAGCTATCTGACCGCCTACAAACTACATCCCCTCCCCTAATTAGAGAACAACATAATCATTTTCGGAATAATTTGGGATTCGAACAAAGCACAACTTTGGGTCTCCTGAAGAGTTTTTCAACATCATTTTTACCCCATCTTACTACTATGTTTACCTTTTAGCCCTAATTGTTCTGGAATTGCATTCATTACACCCATTATCAGGAGATAATTTGCTTATCTGTTACTTGTCATTGTGGGGGGTCTGTAAAAGTCTGTACGACAAGATTTTCAAAATAGAACATGTCCTATCCCTTACATCTAGACTTAAGGTTTCTGAAATCAAGAAATAGTAGCCTTCACACAAGATTTGTCTGTACATCTTAGTTTTAATTGGTGTTGTACTTCAAAATCCTATCGTCTGTTGAGGCCTTAAATTTTATATTGCTTTGAAAAATGTACATCTTATCTCTAATTAGTGCTGTACAACTAAATCCTACCGTCTGTTGAGGCCTTAACGCACCAGTATAAATTCTTAAACCTGGTAGTTCTGTCGCATTGCCAATACGTTACTTTCGAATATTTTAAATGCTTTTAAGTTCTTTCATGGAGTCGCATTAAGTGCCCCTCCAAAATGAACACAGAAGTTTGTCTTTTTATGTCCGAAGGTACATAATATAGACAATAGTGTACGCGTCTGTTTTACAATTTCAGTGTTCTTATTGAGTCTTTAAAGTAATTTTCATTTACATGTATGTTCAATACAACCCCTGTCACACTGGGCTGCGAATGTGAGCGACAAACTTGCGAACGGCATTCGTGAGATAGTTTCAAAAATGTCTCGAAATCTCTCAGTTTCGTCGCACGAGTCGCATGCATTCGTTTTCTTGTCACTTGTATTTCCAACATGTTGAAAAAATTCGTGCGAGTTAATTTCTGACAATGTATTCACAAAATCAACACATGGATCGCAAACCCATCTCAAACCGTTCTCTTTGTGGTTTCCACGAATTAAGCCAGCAGATAATATAAAGTTCGGCATTTTAAGGCCCTTAAGAATTCCTAAAAACGAAGTTAAGTAAAGTCCTGTCCCAAATCAACTAAGTTCCTAGAAAAATTGACAACCTAAAACCAATAAAAGAAATACGGTCTTTTTTCTTTGCAACACAATACGATATATAATCTTTAGAATGGATTTAGCTCAATACAGGTTTGGAGCAGTACCTCTAGACGCTTGCGGAAATCATGATCACAATATAGACAAAATTTTATCGTGTGTTTTTTTCGCCGATTTTTACATTTTTCATTCATTATCATACATT